TTTATGTAGTGTGTTACCGATGCTTACGTTCCTGTTATAAAATTAAAATTTCAAGATATTCCAGTTAATTAATCAATTAATTATTTATCATATATGAATTTTTTATAGAGCTGTACACTGTTAAATGTTTTAATTTTATTATTCGTAATCAATAGATTGACCTTATTTTTGCAAGATTAGAGCTTCCTAAAGTTCCCGACGAGCTTGAACTTAGGGAGAACACTCTTCTAAAAAACTTAGATGAGACATGCATCAGAAGCCTAAACGGTGATTAAAATCTCTTAGGGTCATGATATAATTTGCTAAAAGTTATCATTTAATATTCTCCAGGGTCGCGAGTAACGGATGAAATATTACGCCTTGTTCCAAGTATACCAGCGTTCCGCACATCTTTAAGGTGTATAAAACTTTGGGCAAAGAGTATGTTTCTTTGGATATCTGATTGTTTATTTTCACACCATATATTTTTTTATTAAAATTATTTAATGTTCAGGACGCGCCATATATTCTAATGTAATGGGATTTTTTGGAGGGGTTGCATGGGCAATGTTGGTGGCTCGAATCTGTCAACTATATCCAAATGCTATAGCGGGTGCGATCGTTTCACGATTTTTCCGAATTATGCATCAATGGTTAGCATAAATTGGATACCGTTTCCTTCGCATCTCATTAATATATATTAATTAATAAGAACAAATAATATAGGAAATGGCCTCAACCGGTATTGTTAAAGCCAATTGAAGACGGGCCTCTACAAGTCAGAGTATGGAATCCAAAGGTATAGTTTTCTATAGGTTATATGTGAAATATTAGCCACCGGCAATTTGTTGTTCCTGATATTTTTAACTTTATCCATGCAATAAATATGAGTTGCTATCTAAGAACATTGGAGGATGATTTGTAATTGAGATTCCGATTACATTATACTTTTAACCTCATTAATACCATCCAGATATATCATGGTGATCGGTTTCACTTGATGCCAATAATTACACCCGCTTACCCTTCAATGTGCGCCACACATAATGTCACGCAATCTACTAAAAAAATAATAGAAAGAGAATTCGGACGAGGTAATTTCATTTTGTTTTATTTCATTTCCATATTTCCATATTATATACTCATATATATCTTCTAATTAAGCTGCTGAGATCGCGGACCATGTAATGATTGGTACAGGAAAATGGGCAGACCTTTTTGAAAAACATGACTTTTTTATAAGATACCGATATTATTTGCAGATTATAGCCTCTTCCGATTCTTCTGAGAGACAGTTGAAATGGTTGGTATTTTTTAATAATTAACAATTTTATTGATACTAAAGATTATATCGTGATTATTAGGTCGGGTATGGTAGAATCCAGAATCCGTCATCTAGTATCAAAGCTGGAAAGTGTCGAGAATCTTGCATTGGCACATCCTTTTGTAAAAGGGTTTGATAAAATTTATCATTGTACAAGTGATCAAATGGCGACTGATGTGATGCACGGAATTTTTGATTCAACGTCAACCAGTGATAAAAATAGCACGGAATTATCACAAAATGGCACAGAACCGGCTACTGTTCGTGATATATATACTACTACCTTCTATGTTGGATTAGATATCAATCCTAGAGATCGTAGGTTCAATTCGCGGTTTTTATCATTCGCTTTAAGTTACCAAATTTCCTGACTTTAATTAATAATTATAATTTTAGCTGGCACA